GTCCAAAGCCCTACATCACAAACAGGGAAACAGGGAGGGAAGGGACTTGTTCTGGGTGCAGAGCAAAGCGGCTGGGCTGGCAAACAAACTCAGGCTGCAACCCAGGGCTCTCCCCACCGCACCTGCCACCTCCTGGGCTGTGACTGACAACCAGGACAAGGACAGGACAGGAGGAGACTTGAGGCTGGCTGGCAGGGCTGTCATGGGCTGCCTCACAGCAAAGCAATGATTGCCACCCCCAAACACCAGGCAGGCCCAGGGAAGAGGGGGCTTCAGCTCCCCGGAGGTAGTAGGTCCCACTCCAGCCTACAGGGGTGAAGGGAGCTGGGCAGGGGAGGGAGGGGACTTGGCAGGAGAGGAGAGGGGCAACCAGAATCTTAGCTAGCGTCTGGGATGGAGCTAGAAGCAACCTCAGCCTGGACTCTGTCCCTAGAAGTCCGCTGGTGACAGGCTTGCTGGCTCAGGGGGATGCTGCCCTCCACACCCACCATCAACGCTCCAGCCAAACTGATTATTACCATGGACTCTGAAGTTCACCTGGGTTCAATTCCCCAGCAACTTGCCTCCACCTGGGAGACATTGGGACTTAACCTCTCCACGCCTCGGTGTGGTCCTCCATAAAGCAAACACCTCCGGGGGTTGCTGTGAGAATGAACTAGATCAGTGGTTCTCAACCTTCTGTCCCTTTAAATACAGTTCCTCATGTTGTGACCCAACCATAAAATTATTTTCATTGCTACTTCATAACTGTAATGTTGCTACTGTTATGACTCGTCATGTAAATATCTGATATGCAGGATGGTCTTAGGCGACCCCTGTGAAAGGGTCGTTCGACTGCCAAAGGGGTCGCGACTCACAGGTTGAGAACCGCTGAACTAGATGATGCACACAGAGCTGAGCCTCCGGGTAGGTGCCCATAGCTTGACAGGAGCTGTTGCTGCCAGGTGCGCCATTGCCACACCTGGAGGGCCTACCTGTCTTCACTCTTCACAGCTGACAGGAGCTGTTGCTGCCAGTTCCCCGACGCACCAGGTGCGCCACTGCCACACCTGGAGGGCCTACCTGTCTTCACTCTTCACAGCCAATTCCTCTGCATCCTCTTAGTCTCAGCTTAAACGGGACCTCTTTCGGGAGAGCCTGATCCGGGACTCTTCCGTGTTCCTAGTGCCTCCCAGCCCCCCCACCCCTCGGCTTTAATTGATGCTTCTTGTAAGTGTTTACCTCTCCCCCCAAATTCAAGTTGAACGAATGAATGGGCTCAGCTCTGCTACTGATGGATGCCTTCCAGGCAAGTACTTACTTAGATCTTACTCTGGCTCAAAGGGGTAGATTCCCTGGTGCTGTTGACCACTCAGGTGTGGGAGTGGAGGGACCACCAGAACCCAGGACTCTGCCCCAGGGTTCTCCGGAACGGGGGTGACTGGGCCCCCCCAGGGTCAACCCACAGGAGTGAAACCTCTTAGGGCACCAGGCCCTCACCATTCCTGGCTCTGGGCAGGGCAGCCTCCACCTCTGCCCACATCAGTCAGCCCCTCCCACTTTCGGACCCAAAGGGCTAGAGCCCTGCCCGGCAGCCCCGCCTCCTCCTCACACCTGGCTGCTCTGGGGCCTCTCGGACCCCACGTCGCGCATAAATATAGATCTTTATTGATTTCAGAGAGGAAGACAGAGGGAGAGAGAAAAAGAGGAAGATGATGAGAGAGAATCATTTATTGGCTGCCCCCTGCATGTCCCCTACTGGTGATTGAGCCCGTAACTTGGGCATGTGCCCTTGGCCGGAATCAAACCTGGGACCCTTCAGTCAGCAGGCTGACACTCTATCCACTGAACTAAACTGGTAGGGC